GGCAGCCCAGCTCCAGGTCGAGCTGCTGTTCACCATCTTAGCTGTAGAGGGCAGTGTCACTGGCCCTCGTGTGGGATCCGAACAGGGGCCCTGCTGCTCAGAGCTGGTGTCCCAAGCCAGCTCTTAACCAACGTGCCACCTGGCCGGTCCTGCAGATTCTTTTCTTGTATAATGCTCAACATTATGTTTAAAATGGTTTTTAAATGTTTTTCCAGCATTTTAATTGCTTTCATTTAAGAGAGAGTAGTTCAGGGCATCCAGTATGCCATGCTACCACTAACAGAAGCCGATTGTATGTAATTTTCTATACCTTTAAATTTTTCTATAATAGCATGCCTTAATTGTATAATCCAAAAGAAACAGTGATGGCGATTATTAAAACTAGTAACCATTTTATTGTATTGAATCCTTCAGACCACTAGATGCTTCCATCCATCCCGAGCCTAATTCAAAATATAGCCCAGAGTTGCCACTCCATCCAGATGACCGACCGCCTGCCGGTGGTGAAGTGGGCCCCGATCATATTGACACCCACAAACATTCGTACTGAATGAACGCCACCAAAGGCATGCACTTCCCTGAGTGGTGTCAGTGGTAATCTGCCCTTCCTTGCAGGAATGGTCTGCCGAAAACCCGCCGACCCCGTGGATTGGCCGCCGCTGGTCCTGGGTCTGCTCACCCTGCTGAAGCAGTTTCATTCCCGGTACACGGAACAGTTCCTGGCACTGATCGGCCAGTTTATCCGCTCCACAGTGGAGCAGTGTACAAGGTATGGAAGGCCACTCATGCATGGAGTTCATGTTACACAGCGGGCCATGAACGAGGCACACCCAGCTCCTCTTAGTATCTCCCTGGTAGAGATGGGCATTGTCTGCTTACCCTTCTCTGGAAAGTGAGTCAGGGCTCATCCACCTGTCCTGAGGAATTCCAGGTGTGCCCCTCCTTCGTCACCCTGCCGGGGGAGGCCGCTGGGTGCACAGTGGTTTCTGTGCATGAGTCATGGCCGTGAGCAGCAGCCAGCGTGGGGAGAAAGTGTAGACCTGCTCCTCTGCCGCCGACGGTGCTGTGCTCAGACCTGCCGCTTTCCTCTGCAATTCACCCCATTTTGTGATTGTTACAATTTCATTTCTGACACTTGCCCATCCATCTGAGCTCTCTTCTATTTTTCAGTTGTTAAAAAAAATCTGCTCTTTGAAGCAAGGCTGACAATATGTCCTAGAAAAACATCCAATGTGTGTTTGAGGTTCAGTCTATCAATTAAGACAGGGAAGGACTGGCCTGACTGGGAAATCACATTTTAAGATGTAACAAACGGGAACGCCTAGAAGTCACCAGTGCGGTGAGCAGCCTCTGGACCATGGCACAGCTGGACTAGGTGGAAGGGACTCACCCAAAGGAAGAGAAGAACGGCCGACATTAGCAGAGAGGAAATGGTGTTAACACCTAAAAGCTCCTTTTGATAAAAGCAAGAAAGAATGGAAGCCCCCTAGGAAGACTGCCCTGTACTTCGCTGCATTCTCAGCTCTAGAGAGTTGATAATATACCAGGGGTGCCAATAAAATATGCGCATGACTTGTATTCATCTTTTGTTATTGGTATATATTGAGTATTACAATTTTAATACAGTTTGTTTTTTTCCTGTCTTCAAATGTGTATACGGGTTTTTTTTGGCACCCTCTATAGTTTATGAGTGAATACCTGAGTAGAGTCCATATGGAAAATTATAAGACACCGTATTTATTTGACACCCGCAAGTACATAGTAGTGGTCCAGGCACCATCCCAGGTGCTGGAGACAGATCAATGAAGACATGACCAAGGCCCTCAAAGCAACCGGCATACAAACAACTGAAAAGCGAAGAGGCTTGGAGGAAAATACCAAGTCTACTGAGAGCCTAAGAAAAGGCCATCTGCCCATAGGAGTCCTAGAGGACTTCACAGAGGAGCAAGCGCCCGAGCTGGGACTGGAAAGCCCAGAAGTTGACCGCCAAATACACATGCAGGGCAAATGCCACTGCAGTCTGGGAGCATGGGCACGTGTGGCCTGTTCGGGGACCTGCCAGTCTGAATGGTGAAGTCCCACAGGGTAGAGAGAGAGATGAGTCTAGACGGACAGCAGGGAGCATATTGTGAAGATCCATGTAAGCCACAGAGAAGTTTAGATTTTATCCTCTAGATTATGTTTTGAAGCTATGTGAGCAGCATAATGACTTGATATGAATCGAGGATGCTCTATAGATTTGTTTCTTCTTTGACTTCCTTTAGTAACCTGTCATTTAGTCTTTCAGTATCTTAACTGAGGGTCTGCTATGTACAAAGCAGTTAACTGACGCGGACTGTTCTTACCATCAGCCAGAAGATACCTGAAATGCCTGCGGATGTTGTGGGCGCCCTCCTGTTCCTGGAGGATTATGTCCGGTACACAAAGCTACCCAGGAGGGTAAGTGATACGGAGCGCCGCTGGGCAGCGTCCCCTCCGATGTCAGCAGTGCCAAGAAGTTAAGGCACCAGGACGGAGAGCCCAGGAAGGAATGGAGGCGGTGGCCTCGAGCGATCCACCCATGTGGGTCCAGTGCTTCCCTGGGGTTACCTTGCTCCAAAGAGCATCTTCATTTCTTTATAGTGTTCATATGGAAAGTTGGGGGTTTGCTCTGAATGATAACACTAGGAATAATTTAACTCCTTTGATTTTCTTTTTTAGGTTGCTGAAGCACACGTGCCTAACTTCATTTTTGATGAGTTCAGAACAGTCCTGTAACTTTCTCTTCCGCGTCTTCAACGGAAGGACTGCCCCGAAGTCTTGCCGCCATCACTGTAAGGATTGAAGAGCTGAAGCTGAACTGCCCACATCACCCCGTTTTCCATTTATTGTGGGAACATCAGACATGCTGAGCAAAGTGTATCTCATGGAACTAGGTAATAGAATTCATGTTATTTAAATCATGGTATTATATGCAATTGACATCATGTAGAAGCAGAATCCATTTTTGTACTGCCTCTTATAAATGCTGAATGTAATTGTTAAGTATAAATCCATTTAGTTTTATGTTTCAAAGAACTATTTGTGCAGCTCCAGATTTTCAGTAAAATATTATTGCCAGTACCCAAAGTTGTGCTTCTGCTTATGATTCAAAAATTCTGTATTTACTTTGCAAAACACCTTGCCTGGAAGGTAAGAGATGAATCTGCTATGCCCTACAGACACACTCACGACAGGCTGGCAGGTATGTGGTGATATGATAGACTAGTAGCAAAGGTAGTGACCACACAATCTATGGGCCACGGACCATGGAAGTTTCTTGGTGTCTGAGGCTCACCTTCCTCTTCCAATCCCAATACCCTCGGGGGTTCCCAGTATCCCTTCTGTGGGACTCCCTGACGTTAGCTGCTCTTTCCGCCCTTCCTTTCCTTCCTCTCCTTCCTCAGCAACCCGAGCCCCACCCCCCTTTTTTTTTTGGTAACAGCTTAGCCATTAGCTTTTAACTCCCTCACCCTCCAAATCCTAACTCACTTATGCATAAAAATCACCCTGAAAAGGGCACTACCATCCTATTGTGTCAACTGCAGAAGAGCAATAAAGGTGTTTTAGCCCTGACCTTAGAGCTGTGTCCTCCTCTGGAGAGGACAGAATAAGTAAAAAAAAACCTGGAGTGTGCTTGACAGTCACTTAGCAGGGGAAGTTGCAGGAGAAGCAGCACTGATTGGTCATCACGCAGCAAAGTCTGACTCCTGGTTCTGCCACAAGCTCAGCTTTGTCCCAAGCCAGCCTACTGGCTTCATCTGCAAAGTCAGGGCTAAATGATTTCTTAGGCTTCTTTCAGTTTTCTGATTTTATGACAAGCTCTATTTCTTTTATCAGAAGGCCTCAAATCCTAAAATACTGACAGAAACAAATGACTTTACAGGTTTTGATTATTTCATCATAGTAGAAAAGGGTTTTTTTGTTTGTTTTTTAAAGATTTTTTTTTTTTTAATTNCAGATCTTTAAACAAAACCTTTACGTGTCCTAGAAATGTGCCTATACCTGACTACAGTTCTTTTCATGAGTTAGACTGATGTGTTAATTTGGGAATCAAATTTTTAAAATATAGGACAGAAGAAGGAATGGCAGCATGTGTATATATCCTAAAAACATTCATTTAACCTTATGCATTGTTCTCAAGACTGATCTAAGAACGCATGCCTACCTTGGTCTGTTAAGAAAGAGTCTTTGTGGGGCTCCCTGCATAGAGGAAGTTTTTGTTGTAAACAGCACGTTTGGTGTCCCCCTGGAAAGGATGTCTCCATGTTCTGAGTAATGTTAGTGTCCTATGCAGTGGGCAGTGAGGAATTCAGAATTGGGAAGGCCTAGGTCAGATAGATCAGGATAACTGGTTTAAGTAAGGTTTCCAAGCTTCACAAGAGCCCAAATACAGGATCTGGGGGTCTGTTTTACCATTTTAACTTTATAATAAAGTTGTACCATTGTATACCCCTCCAGCACTTGGCAATGTCGGTCTTCTTAATTTTAACCATTCTAGTGGGTGTGTGTGATATCTCCTTGTAGTTTTAATATGCCTTTCCTTGATGATTGATGATGTTGAGCAATTTTTCATGTGCTTTTTAGCCATTTTTTGTATCTTTCTTTGTTAAGTGTCAATTCAAGTCTTTTGCCTGTTTTTAAATTGGGTTTATTATCACTGAGTTGGAGGAGTTATGTATATATTGTGAATATAAGTCCTTTGTTAGATATATGTATCCAGATTTTTTTGTCACAAACTGTGGCTTACGTATTCAGTTTTTAAACTGGTGACTGAAGTGAGCAGAAGTGTTTAACACTGATGATGTCCAGTTTATCTCTTTTTTTCTTCATAATTGGTCCTTTCTGGGTCCTAAGAGATCTGTACCTACTCCAAGGTCACAAAGATAGTCTCCTATGATTTTTTCTAGAAGCTTTGTAATTTTAGCTTTTACTTTGAGGTCTATGGTCCATTTCAAATTCCTTTCTATCTGCAGTGTGAAGTAGGGGGTCAAGGTTTATGTCTTCCCCATAAAGGATATCGCGGTTCAGCACTATGTTTAAGAAAGATTTCTCTCCATTAAACTGTTTGGATATTTGTGGGAATTCATTTGATCATATAACAGTGGAACGGTTTCTCGATTTTCTTTTCTATTCATTGATCTGTTTATCTATCCTTCTGACAGTGCTGTCTTGAGCTCTGTAACTTTATAATAATTCTTGAAATCAGGCAGTGTAAGTCTTTCAGCTTTGTTC